CTCTAAAATAACGAGAGAAAAGTTTTTTTAAAAGCTGAACTGAAATTTTTGTGATTAAATAAATTCATCCTCAGTTTGGAATTTTAAACAAGAAAATTATTTGCGGAAAGACCTTAACGTCAAAAATAGTATAATATAATGTTTCAATATTTTTATAAGTAATTAGGTAGTTTCAATCGTTGACATCAATTAAATTTTGGTTTTAAACTCTTATTTCGTATTCAAGTTAGAAAAATGTGAGCATTTCCCATGTTGTAAAACTATTTCATAAAGTATAACCCAAATTTTTGCACAATTTCGAAAAATAGTTATTATGCATGAAACAAAGAACTAGAAAAATGTCTTTTCAACGCTGGACTAAAAATATTATGATTGAAGTTTTGACATTTTCTTCAAGAACAATTATTTGCTAAAATTTCGAAAGACTTTAATGTCAAAAATTGCATAACAAAATTTTTGTTAAAATTTGTAAATGATTAGGTTTGTTGATGATGTCACAAAAATGTGTGTTATAAAACCGATAACCCGAATTTTTGCAAAATTTCAAAAAATTGCGACTCTCCATGAAATACAAACATAATTAGAGAACTGTCTTTTTAATTCTAGACTAAAATTTCACCATTTCATTAACTTTTTTGACTTTTGCATACTTCATTAAAAATATTTGATAAATTTTCGCAAACTTCAACGCCAAAAGTAATGTAACATAATTGTTTACAATATGTATAACTTATTAGATTTGGTTAACAATGAAGCAAAAAGTGTGGAAATTCCTAAATAGTTTTGTCCAAATTTTTGCTAAGTTTTTACAAAATTTCCATGAAAAAAGTACATAATTTCATAGAGACATTCCATGAAAGAGAAGAGAGGAGGAGAGAAATGTAGTCCATTCCATTTCATCCACCGAAAAGTCCACCATGAACAAAATCTCTCCTCCAATGGAACTTAAAAGAGAATCACATCTCATCTCGATTCCACGCAATGGCGAGTCCTCGTTATTTACACCTTTTCTCACTCAAATGACATTGAGATGAGTGCCATTTAATTCAGTGCGTCGTCATCCCATTGACGACTAAAAGACATACGACTGACCAAACCAAACCACAAGTGTTTCCAGGTGGGTTAGTGACTCCCCAATGAAAAAGAAAATAGATTGACCAAAGGACGACCTTATTTTATCACGTCATTACCCTCCAATTTTACACCGCAAGCAGTGACCGCGGGGACGGAGGGACAATGTCCCCAAGGTTGTTCGATGTCCCCATCATCTGCCCATGTTATATAAACCCCTCCTTCCCCTATCCCACAATGTTAATGTTCCCAGATTGTCCCCACGGCTCCCGCGGCCACTGGTTATCTTAAGTGGTCGTATCACTGTCTTTACCATCATGCAGTCACCGCGGATGCGTGGGGACAGAGGAACAATGTACTCAAAGGGGTACTCGATGTCCCCATCATCTCCCCCATGTTATATAAACTCCTCCCCCTCCCCTATCCTACAATGTTAACGTCCCACGATGTCCCCACGGCTTCCGCGGTCACTGGGTTTTAGATATCAGGAAGCCAGTGGCCGCGGATGCGTGGGGGGACAATGTTCCCACGGTTGTTCGATGTCCCCATCATCATATAAACCCCTGCCTCCCCTATCCTACAATGTTAATGTCCCCACACGGCTTCCGCGGCCACTGAGTCCGCAAGATCAAGAAGGCACAAGAAATAATAACAACGTAACGTAAAGTAACGTCTTCTTTCTTTAAAGTCTCTCTCTTACCACTCACACTCCGTTTTATTTTACGACGACGACGTCGTCAACCTCGTAATAAAAAAAAGGACGAAAAGAAACTACTACATACATAGTTGAAGAGAAGGACACTTTTTCTTGTGATTTTATTTTCAAGAAAAGAAAGAAATAAGAATGGAAATTTTGGTTTTGATGAAAGAATGAAAAATTGAGGGCGAAAAGGTTTAGAAATTTGGAGCATGAAGCAACAATGGTTTCAGATTGGGGAGAATTTTTTTAGTTTTCCATTGGAGATAAATGGTAGAGGTTTGTTGGCATGATTTTTGGCGTGTTGCGTGTTTAGAGAAAATTCACGTAGTGCTTTGTAACCTTGTAAAGTGTGGAAGTTTCGTAAAATAATTTTTCAAAGTTTGTAAATTTATGGAATTTCTGGATTTTACAAAGTTCTCAAGTCCTGCGTGAATCGTTTAAATGTATGCTCCAAGAAATTGCGAAAGGTTGACGTCAGAAGTTTAATTTTTGTGTTTTTATTTTATATAACCCAAATCAACGGATTCGATGTAATCGAAGGATTAAAAGAATTAAAATATAACGAATGTTGACACAATTCATTCACGTAGTCATTTTCAACTTCGTAAAATTCGTAAATTTTATACAATAACTTTCCAAACTTAGAGACGCCCTGATCTGAACAAGTTTACAAAAATTTGGGAGCTAATTTCCCATATTAAAAATTTTGTAAAAGTTTGTAAGTTTGCAGAATTTACGAATTTTGTAAAGTTACCAAGGCCTGCGTGAATTGAAGATATGTATTTTTGCATTATTTTCTTTCAAGTGTAGGTTTAGTCTCGTTTTTATTCTATTTTTTTGGTTGTTATGGAAACAAGATTTTCTATTTGTGTTTGTTGTTTGCAATGATTTTGTTGGTTTTTGGTGTGCGGGCGGGTGGAGATACAAATAAGATAAAAATGTATGTGTACAATATAACCATCCCATTTCTTTTAAGGAGGGGAATCACTTAAACATTTCTCTCTTTTCAGTATTGTTCCCACTTTACTTTCTCTTTTTTTGAGGAGGAAACGATGATAATAATCCGATCCTAAGTGGACGACGTAGTTTTCGTGGTGGAGGAAAAGAGCATCTTGTCCTTATTTTCATTTCATTTTCCCCCCTAATGAGGGAATACTGGAAGGAAGAGAAAGTATCGTGGATTTGCTTTTACACGGAAATTATACGAGGTTTGGGATTCATTCGAATTTTGGGTGGATTCATGAGATGACACTCTTAAAAAAATGGGAAAATTTTTGAGAAAAATGTACGGTAAAGGATGTGTTAACAGAATTGTAACCGACGTGTGAAGCATTATTGCGAATTTATTGCGAATTTTTTAGCGGAATAGTCTGGGATTAAATTAAAATTTTTGACTCGTATAAATTTCGAGATTTTGTAACAAATTTGGAGCTTTTGTTTGTCCAATTATTTTGTCGGGGTTTAAAAATTGGTGACAATTTGTTACTGAAGAGTAACACTAAAAGTCAAATTTATCACAATTACTGTTCAGACAATAGTCTCAATTCCTTGGAAAATTTCCTGAAAGGTTAATTGGTTGATAATTGTTAATATAAAATAATCTGCCAGGAAACCTTTCAGATTTTTCTCAGCTTATTAATATTGACTGAACCATAGTTGGTAGAAAATTTTGAAATTTGTTAGTGCATAACGGTTCGTGCAAAAACTGATGCGGATTTGTTCCAATAAAATTTTGGAAAATTATGTATGCCTTATTTTTAAGGGTGTATTGTTACAAAAATGATGGTAATTGAGCCGAAATCTTTGTCATGTTGTGGTTTGATACGTCCATAATGCGTATATATTCTCTCAGATCGGATTATTGGTTTAGTTTACGATCTCCTCGAAAGATATGGCTCTCTCTTCGGTTATGGTGATGTTGATGTTGATGCTGATGACGATGGGCACCCATCTCTCCGTAATTGTCGTCGTCGTCATCATCATCCCCTCAGCCAAGCACTCGAGATGGATGGATAAATGCAATACAAGACGAATTCTGACTGACATTTACAACCTGTAAAGTGCGCCGGCTTCTTCTTTACGAGGAGAAAGTCGGCAGGATTATTAAATTCCTGTCGGGTACTGTTGAGGGGAATTTGGGAAATTTGGGTGCGGAAAATGCAGAAAATCGTGAAAAAATTAGGGTTCTATTTACCCTAACCTCGTAAATATGTAATTCGTTATTGGTGCGATTATTAGATGTTTAACAGGATCGTAAAATATTTTACGAGGGGTGTAAAAAAAAGTTGTAGGAATGGTTTGTTTAGGTTTTGTGGGAAGGTGAAGGTTTCACGGGTGAGTTTTTGGTTGTTTTTGGTAGAGGTTTATGGATAGATTTAAATTTTTGGAAATTTTTGAAAATTGGAAAGGAGAGGGGATTTTCATGAAAATTTCTGTATTTTACGAGGGGTGTAAAAAATGTCTACTTTTTCCTGGTAACTTTCACCCCCGAATTTTTCATTTGTTTAAAATATTTTGGAACAATATCTCTTCCTGAAATTTTCTGAAAATGACAAACAAAATTTCCATAGAACCTTCCCCTATATATTTTACATACAAGGGGTGTGCAAAAAATTTCGCACATTTTTATACCCTCACATTTCTACCTACATAGATTACTTTCACCCTCAAGTTTCCCCTTTCTTTGAAATTTTCTGAACACTACATCCAATTTCTGAAAATTTCTAAAAAATGACAAACAAAATTTCCATGGAAACTTTCCTCCTTATATTTTACAAGGGGTGTAAAAACAAACTCTCACTTTCTTGCATTCCCGGATTACTTTCACCCTTAAATTATTCCTTAAATTCATAAACATTTTGATTTCTCCCCATTCCTGAAAATTTCCCGAAAACCAAAATCCCCCCGGAAAGTTTCCCATTTTTGCATAAGGGATGATTTCTCTCCATCAAGAATCCTCACCCGTTACAGAAGTCTGGTTCTGTCCCACTACGTGCCGCTTCTGGAGTGGTTTGCCTCACCGCGGCCGGACGAGCAAGACTAGTTGTCGTTGGCGGAGGAGTGGAGCGTCTCCGGCCGAGGGGCGGCCTCCGCCCCGCCGATTGGCCGCCACCACGACTACGTCACTAGTCGGCGTGTCCACAGCGATCGGGGTTTACGGGGTGAAAGGGAAGTTGATCACACGTGGTGGCTTAGCTCTGCAGAAGAGTTGAGTTGAGACAAATATTGTCAGAATCAAATGTGTGTGGATTGCCTTGCTAGCCCCCGACGAAGCAGGATCATTACACACTTGCCCATTGACCAAGCAGGTTGTTAGTCCACACAAAGTCATCATAATAACAAACACATTCTCACATACGATACATACGATACGAGACAAAGAATTAGTAGTAAAGATAATACAAAAGTATACGAAGAGGAGATAAAGAGAAGGAAAATTTGGAAAAATTTCAAAATTTTGAGAACCATAAAATTTAAATTGGTTTTTAAAAAAAAGTGAGACTTGACTTTCACTCGGAGAAAATTTCGTAACATCGTCTCGTCCCCGAGAAAGTTGAGACACGACAAGTGGAAGAAATTTTGGAAAGTGTGTGTCTCAAATAAAAAAGAAGTCATAAAAAAGTGAAAGTTCATAAAATTTTAAGTCATTAAAATTTTATTGTTATTTGACTCTGGTGAAAGTTGAGAAATTTGAAAAAATTTGGAAAAAAATCCTGATTTTTATTTGGAAGTGAGACAAGTGTGTGAAAAGAAAAGAAGGGCCGGACAAATTGAGACGTTTCCATGAAACATTTCGCAAAATATTCGCAATATTAATTACTATTATAATATACCGAATGCAACCAAGTATACGAACCAATACGATTTTAAAGATTAGTCAAAACCCATAAATAAATAAAAGAAGGTATACGATATACAGAAAAAAAGGACATAAAAAGGGTCAACTTTACGACGAAATAAGTGAGAAAGAGAGAGAACCCTCATAAAATAAGTGAGTGTACACACATAGTCAAAGACTGGAATAAAAGGAGACGAAGAAAGAACTTGCCAAATACACATTTTTCGTATACGAAATCTCCTTATCCGGTGCTTATCTTGTTCTTCTCCGATAAGTTTGGTCAGTATTATTATTATTATTAGTGACCTCTCATGTCATGTCGGGTCGTGGCGTGTTACTAAAATCGCCCTTAGTGCACTAGTTAATTCGGGGCAGTGTGAGACTCTTATGCAACTTTAAGACTTTCCTCTCCTCTAACAAAATGATGAACTCATACTTTGAACAGTCTGGTTTTTACGGGACCCCCTCCGGCGCGGGGGACCAGTCGTACCGATTTCCCATCGGGTTAGGAATGTCGCCCTACGCCCAGCACCACGGCGCCCGGGCGCCACAAGATTCCCCTTACGACGCGACCGCCGCGGCGTGCAAGCTCTACTCGTCACAGGCCGGGAGCGGTGGGGGCGGCGGGGGTGGGGGCGGCGGGGGCGGGGGGGACGGGTACAAGCTAGACTGCCCGGTGAATAAGGAGCCGTCGAATGGGTATAATGGGAAAGATGTCGGGGGTGGGGGGCACGGATTACCCGGGTCGGCCGGGTGGGGCGGCCCGGCGGGGGCAGGGGTACCGGTGCGACCAACCGTTTGCACACCGGATGGGCGATACGGCGGGGGGAATTCGGTGGGCGGTGGGGGCGGCGGCGGGGGCGAACCGTCGAGTCCGAGTCGATCTCTGAGTTCGTGGAATGCGACGTGTAACAATTTACAAAATGGGGGTGGCGGTCTAGCCGGCGGGGTACCGTCGCAAGCAGCCTCACAACTCCAACAATCTGCCAACCACACGTTTTATCCGTGGATGGCGATTGCAGGTCAGTCCTACTTAGGTATGGAGTTTTTTTGAAATACACTTCTTATCGTTTTTTATTTATGTTTGGGGAAATTTAGAAAAATAGAGGGGGTATAAGGGTACGAGTCATAATTTTGGTTTCATGATCACAGTATTTTCGCAGTGATTTCGTGCAAATAATAATCCGGTTCAAAAGAAAGCATCGTTTCATTCCGATCTCATTTCAGCGACACCTTTAATGGGCAACTTTTACGGATTTTGATCCATTTTTAGAGCCAGTAGTACGACACTCGTAATCATGCTCGCTAAATTTAAATACACTTAAACATTTCAACTAAAATGTGAAAGAATGTACAATACTGTTCGATTTGAGCAATTTAAACGTCAAAAAATGAAATTTTCATATTTCTATGGGCGACTTAATTTTAAAGATTTCTAGTTCATATATTTCTTCGGGTGAACTGATCAGTTTTCCATGAAATCTGAATTTGAGACGGTATTCTCCTTATGATTAAAATACACTTCAGCATCTGACCTCTAATAAATTAGTGGGTAATAAAATATGACAAAATGTACAAAAATATGCGCAATTTAAACGCCAAAAAGCTAATATTAACATATTTTTGTTTGAGTATACTTAATTTTCTAGATCATGTATTCCTCTTCCGAAAAAGAAAACCGCTTGCTAACATTTTGTCAATTTTATGTGTGATCAGTTTTTCATGAAATTTGCATTTTACGAAAAAAGTTCTTATCGTCATTACATAAATATTAATCCATTCCTCATATTTACATACATACATACATTTAGAAATATTAATACTAATTTACATATCGCCCGCTCCCCCCCCATAGATTTATCCACTCTCCATTTTTTGCTAATCGGAGGAGCAGGTGTGTTTCGCCAGTAATACTTTAGCTTTCTTTCTGGCCGAGAAAGATTTATGAAGACGAATGTATTTCTTCTTCTTCCTCCTCAGAGAAAGTAGAGAAAGTTGTTGGATTATTTTAACGTATGTAATGCACCCGTCATGCACGGAATAATATCCAAAATCCCCCACACAAAAATACAGAAGGAGAGAAGGAAGGCTGTAATTTCTGCGAGATTTATGACCCCAATCCATTCCCCATTACACTAATAAAGCCACAACGTTCTAATGAGCAAGATAAAATAAAGCAACCCTCCCACAACCACATGCAGGCAGGCAGGCATACCTTTCAGTGGCCACGGAAGCTGTGGGGACATCGGGGGAGATTAACGTTGTAGGATATAGGGAGGGCCGGGGAGGGGTTTATATAACATGGGGGAGTTGATGGGGACATCGAATACTCCTGGGGATATTGCCCCCTCAAGCTTCCGCGGGCACTGGCTTCCTCATATCAAAACCCAGTGGCCGCGGAAGCCGTGGGGACATTGGGGGACGTTAACATTTTAGGATGAGGGTAAGGGAGGGGATTATATAACATGGGGAGATGATGGGGACTGGGGATATTGTCCCCATGCTTCCGCGGACACTGCTTTCCTCACATCAAAAACTGAAACCTGCCCGCACTACAAATAAAAACCGGAGAAAGTTATTTGTTTGTCAAATTCCGTCCCGATTCCGATCAAAAATGAGCAAGTAGTTACTTCACAAGTCTCAACTTCCCCGGGGATGTTTGTGCATGTGCAAAATTTAGCGAGACCATGCACAAAATCAGGGAAGCAGATAAACGCATTTTAGTGCGGGCATTACCGACCCAAGAGGGCAACTTAGTCGTAATCTGAGCGGGACATAAAATCCAATCCACACTCTTTTTCTTTTTTTACTTCTTGTGAGCCATGAACTTGTTGGTTTTGGTTGGCCGTAAAAAAAAGAACTGCATGAAGGTCGAATTGCCACTTTATTTGGTGTTTAAGGACAATTTTTGATCACATATTTTTTTCTGGAATTGAGAAATGGGCCGTGTAAATAAAAATTCCATCAGGAATTGCATTCTTCTTGCTTTGTGGTTGCGACGGCGGGGGGTCGTTTTTAGTGGAAAGAGAGAGAAATGATTGATTTTTGGTTAGTTCGACACAAAGGGAAACTTTGCTTGGTTGGTGGGAGAAGAAGTGAGGAGGCGACATTAACGACCACTTAATGACGATTAATGAAGCATTAAAACAAATAACGGCTAATTCGTCATATTATTATGGCACGCGCTTTTTCGCACTGCAATTATTTACGTATACAGGAGAGGAATTAATTTAGTAGTGGTGTTGCGAATTTTTAGGTATTGCTAATTTTTTGCGGGGATTGATTAAGTAGAAAATTATAATTAATCGCGAATAATTTGTCATAATCCTTAGAAGAATTACTGTTTTCGCACAGTGATTATGTAGGAATTCATTTATCGAGTTACTGAATTATTTCGCAATTTGGATATTTAGATATCCCTAATTTTTTGCGAATTGAGTGCAAAATTGTAATGTACTTTGTGACGACGTTGCTCCTGTAGATTTCGTGTAGAGGAATGAGACGACCATGCAATTGCAATATCGCAGTTATTCAATTACTTAATTGCGTCCAGTGGCTGGCTGGCTGGCTTGGAAAAGTCTGGTTGCATTGCAGTTGAGATTTCTGTTCGTGCACAGAGTTGACATGTAAATTAGCTCAATTGGCTTAACAAAAAAGACAGTCACACTCTAAATAAATGCGGTTTTATGACGTTCTTACTGATCCTTTTTTTTAGAGTGCACTGCTAAAAGTCACATACATACTGGTATTGATTTGGTACTAACTTCTTACCCGATTGGTAACAGTTTGTTTCTGAATGGTAAATTTTTCATTACCACAAAATTACTAAAACGTAAATGCCAGTTTCTACCAGTGCTGGTAGAGACATATGCATATATACTCCGGTAATGGTTTAATACCACTTTTCTAAGAGTGCATGCATTTATTTGTTCATGTCTTTAATTAGAAAACAAGTCTATTTATTCCTCTGGTTGCATAATTACATATAATTTTCTGACCGCGAGGACTGGATCGGATCAGATATTGGCATGAAACGTCGGTCCAGTCTCAAGTCCAAAGTTTTCCACGCTTATTTTACGCACAAATACAAAGGAAGCAGCGCATAACTCACGAGTGCATTAGATGGATTTCTTATTAGAGCCACAGAGTTGCCAGTTGTACGAGGGGAACTATTTCATGGCGGCGAGTGAGAGAGGGTGGTGTGCGTTATTCGGTCTTTACTTAGGATACGATACCCGGGAATAATTCGTCATGTAAGAATGCACTGGATGGAAGTATGAGTTTCATTTCAGTGCACCAGATGCAAGTATCATGTTACAAGCGAGAGAAACTTTCACCGCAATAAGTTCAGTTCAGTCAGAGCAATATGAGGAATCTGTTGGTTGGTTTGGTGGAAAGAAAAAAATGGTTCAATTTGGGCAGCAAAGTTTTATTTGGGGAAAATATCTATGTAGCATATTTTGGACGGGTGCATGTCAAAGTTGGGAAATTTGAGAGGAATTTTATTAAAAATAGATTTGTTGGAGTGAATTTTTATAGATTTTATTAATCGATGAAATATGTATTTTTGAAAATTTTGCTTGGAAATATTCGGTGCAATTTGGTAATTTGGGAATAATTTATTTGAGTGGAGTGAAAATTTGGGAGAAAAGTGTGTATTTTTTTGGAAAATAGTGATAATTTTGTGAAAGATGAGTCTAGTCGAATTTTATTCATCACTTTGGGCGGCGTTACGTCAAAATTTATAATTTTTTGGGAAATACTTAAAATTTTACGAAATATTAGCCTAATTGAATTTCATTAATGGATAAAGATGAAATGTAAAAATTCAAAATTGTCGATACAATTTTTGCCTGAAATTTTGCATTTCTGCATATTTTTTGCGAAATACATAATTGTTATGAAAGATTTGCATGGGTCCGGATTTTACGCGAGGAGGGAGGAAACCGGCCTGTTTTTTGTTGCCCTTTCAGCTGACTGACTGACTGGTGTAATAAACATAGAAATAAAGACAAGTGTCCATTGTGATTTTATGGTAATTGTAATTAGTATTGTTATGTTATGAGACACCTTCTTCCTATGAAATGCAACCCTCTCCTCCGCAACTGCAACAGCCTTGACCGACCTTGTCACTAAATATGCACAGATTCCTTTTTTTATCCCAGCCCATCTCTGCCTGATCCCAATCTTGCGGCGAAAGTCACGGAGGAAAAGTGCGTAAATAAATGCATAAATAAATGCGGACTGTAAAAATCAGAGGTATTTGTAGGGATTTTATGATCTAGAGGGGAATTGGAAGGTTAAATAAAATGGGAATAAAATTGTTACCGGGTGGTAAACAGCCATGAAAAGATTTTGCCCGAGTTTCACAAAAGTCTGGGACAAGATTGAAATTTATTATCAAAATTTGCATCAAATCTTTTGCGAATTTTTTTATCAAATTTCCTTTCTAATTATTTCAAATTTTCCTTTAAGATTCTACGCAAGCTTAACAAAAATTCAAATTTTTCATTAAATTTCCCATGAAATCCTTTATCAAATTTTTTTTGAGATTTTCTAACTAATTTTCAAAGACATTTTCTACGATTTTTTGTTCTCTAATTTCCTATCAAGTTTTCTTTCCAATTTTGTATCAAAATTCTCTAAGATTTTCCCAGTATTTAGCAAAATTTATTTGCGACAAATTTCAAATTCCTCCCAAATCTCTCATAAAATCCTATCAAATTTTCTTTGAAAATATCTCTCAAATCTTCACCTCAAATGCAAAATAGCTACCCGGTCGATCGTTTCGTGTTCTGTTCTGGGTGGCATTTTGTTTAGTTTGACACTCGTGGATTCACACGGATTGATTTATTCCTCGAAAAACTTTACACTTAGGAGAGGACGACGACGAGGACGAGGCAAAAGTCGGGATTAGACGGGAACACATAGCGTGGCTGGCAGGCAGGGCAAAAATATTCCGTCCAGAATGAATTATTGTGCACGGGAACAAAGTAAAGTTGGTGTTTTTGATCGATTCGAGGAGGAGAGCACATAA